GGGGGGGGGGGGGGCCTCAGCGCATGGAGGCGTCCCCTGTGGGCGGTGACCGTCCCCCGTGGGTGATGACCGTCCCCTGTGGGCGGAGGCATCCCCTGTGGGCAGAGGCATCCCCTGTGGGCGGTGACCATCCCCTGTGGGCGATGACCGTCCCCTGTGGGTGGTGGCCATCCCCTGTGGGCAGAGATGTTCCCTGTGGGTGATGACTGTCCTCTGTGGGCAGTGACCATCCCCTGTGGGTGGAGATGTCCCCTGTGGTCAGTGACTGTCCCTGTGGGCAGTGACCGTCCCCTGTGGGTGGAGATGTCCCCTGTGGGCGGTGATGTCCCCTGTGGTCAGTGGCCATCCCCTGTGCATCCCCCGTGGGCAGCTAACACTCCTGCTGCCGTGTATGGATCCACAAACCATGTCCCCTTGGCTGTAGGGACTGTGTGGCCCTGCCACACAGCCGGGCGTCCTCGGCCTGAGCACCTTAAGGAAGTCGGGGTGCTGCCTGGTGACCGAGGGCTCATCTACGTGGAGCCAGCAACAGCCCCCTCCTTCCCTGTGTCTGAGCTCATTTTATCCCTTTTCGTGCCAAATCTGTGTCTCCCCTTCACGGGGGTGTCCTGGAGACTGACGATGTGCCAGGGCCCCGAGGGTCCACCCCGTGACAGCAGCAGCAGTGTGGGCTCTGGGTACCCCGCACGCAGGCGGCGACGTGGCCTGTTCCTCAGGGACGGGCCTGTCAGGCTCTGTCTGGAAAGGGTTGAGCCTGACCTACAGGACCACCCCAGCTCTCCCCATTCTGCTCTTTGTGGGGCCGAGTGAGCCAGGCTCTCAGCGCTGCAGACAAGCACCCCGCGGGGCTCAAGCTCGGCTTTTCTCGGAATCCGCGGGACGCGAGCCTCTCCGTCCGTCAGCCCCGGCGCTTGTCGGCTGGAAGCCCAGATAAACAGGCACTGCTGGGCTGAGGTCCACACACACGCGCTCGTTTTCACACCCAGGGCAGCAAAGTGCCCTCGTGCGGACACAGGGCCCGCGGGCCCCTCTTGCCGCTGCCCCGGCTCCTGGAGGTGAGGACCCGTCCCGTCCCAGCAACCGCGTCTGGGAGCCACGTGCCCGCGAAAGGTGCTGAGTCGTGCATGACGAAGATTTCACCGAGGACCCCATGTGGTTCGCTTTTTGAACACGCCTTGAGTGGAATCCACCCTGCAGCATTTGGCAGGCCCCTCCCTGCGGCTGGGGTCGGGGTACTCGGCACCCCGGACAGCATCCACCCCTGCGTGTTTTGCTGTTCAGCGCCCGTGGCCGCACTCCAGATCTTTCAGGTTCGGGCCAGGAGACTGTAGGCCTTCATTAAGTGACCTCTTTCATTTTAGGCCAGTTTTAAGGAATCCTACATGGCTGCATTCTATGAATTTTTCAATGAGCAGAAGTATGCTGATGCAGTGAAAAATGTAAGTATCGGCATCGATTAACGCAGACTCACGGCAGCAGAGGCGGCCGACTCGGTGGGAGGGATCCAGATGGTCGTGGGTGGTTGAACTGAGCGGGGAGGCGCCGTGGGGGCAAAACCCGGGGCGGGGGCCAGGGAGGGGAGCCGCAATGGCTTCCAGCTCCACGAGGGGAGCAGGTGGACCTCCAGGTGTTACCTGAGGCCTGGCAGCCTCTCAGGAGCAGTAACAGCTGGGGGTGCGGCCAGCCCTTCCCAGGAGGTGCCGGGGTTCAGCTAGGGCTGGAAGCGTCTCAGTCTCAGCAGAGACAAGACCCCATGGTCCTCTCAGAGGGGCCCCCGCCCAACAACTTGCTTCTCAGAGTTTCCTCTCCTGGTTCCAGAAGGAGATGCAGGGCGCCCAGGCACTGTTCCTACGAAGCTTCGCCTTTTAACCATCCGGTTTCTTTCCCACTTCAGTTCTTAGATTTGATCTCGTCCTCCGGGAGAAGAGACCCCAAGAGTGTGCAGCAGCCCATCCTGCTTAAGGAAGGGTAGGGCTGGCGGGAGAGAGGCAGGGTGGGGCTCCCAGGCTGGCTCAGCGCCAAGCAGGCATCCCTGCCCGCGGGGCCGGAGGGCATCCAGACCCGTCTGGGGCCTTGGTCCGTCTGGGAGAGATGCCCCAGGGCTGCGCCATGGCGTGTTTTCAGTCCTGCGCCTGTTCTCTGCTGAGGCTGCGAGTGGAGGAATGCCCGTCTGGGAGCAGAGTTTGAAGGCAGGGGAGACTGAACAGCCCCCAAATAATCAGAGACTTCTGCCCGGGTGGCTCCCTCACCTGAGTCCAAGGCCCCCCTGCCCTCCATCAGCCTCTCGCTAAGAAGTGTCCCCCATCAGGGGCTCAGAATACAGGACGCAGCAGAGAGCAGCTACCTCTCACCTCCGGCCTTTGCTACCAGAGCACACCTGCGGGGCTGGGAGCCTGCCGCCGGCACTTCCTTTGGGAGCATCTCTTGTCCATGTTTTCAGGGTGGGAGGTGAGGGGGGTGCCCTTTGTTGGAGCTCAGATAGACCCACGGTCATCACCGACTTGTAACTTGAAGTTGACACTAGCACAGGAGCTAAACTTTTCAAAAGTAGAGACCTTTGCCTTTTGGTTTTTAAATCCTGTCACTTGGAAATAAAATGATAAGATACTGAAATCCCACAGCCTGCTTCGAGTATCACAGGTACGGCAGTGGCGACCTGTCGTGACTCTGCAGGCTTTGATTTTGTGACTTTGGGCTGCCGGAGCTGGCGGGCAGGGGGGACATGCACCCAGCCCTAAGCTGCTCACCCACCAGCCTGTGCCGTTCATGACAGGTTCATGATCAAGAGAGCACAAGGGCGAAAACGCTTTGGGATTAAGAATTTTAAGAAAAGATGGTTTCGCCTGACAAACCATGAATTCACCTACCAGAAAAGCAAAGGTAACAAGAACACTTCGCTTTTTATTTGTTCTCGCATATTGTATTCCGAGGGACCAGAGCCTTGCCTCGGCCCCCGTGGCGGGTACCGGTCGCTTTTCCGGGGTGGGCGGGTCCTTACCCGGGCAGGGGGCACCGAGAGGGTGGCCTGGGCATCGTGGGGAGCAGGGTCTCGGGGTGGACGCTCTTGTCCTGCGCGGGTGGCTCTGATCTAGATCACAGGATGTCCCCATGGAAACGTGGGGTGGGCTTCTCAGGGACCCGGGTCCTGTGGGGGGTGAGCGCGTGAGGCTGGCGTCACCTGCCTTCGAGGGGAGACCGGCCCCTCCTGGCGGCTCACGGGCACACTCTGCCACAGGGGACCCGCCTCTCTACAGCATCCCCATCGAGAATATCCTGGCCGTGGAGCCGCTGGAAGAGGAGTCCTTCAAGATGAAGAACGTGAGTACCACCCCATCCCCTCGACCTCGCTGCCGCCCCGCGTCCTGCACCTGCTTCCAGACCCTTGTGAGCTGGCAGCCACAGGGCGCTGCCACGGAGCAGAGAGCCCGACCGTGCCTGCTGGGTCGGCAGGACCCGCGGGGCTTCTCTAAGGCTTTTGGTTTAGATTGAGTCTTGCTTCTACAAAGCTCCAAAAACAGAGCAAAAGGGCCGCAGCCCCTTGCCGCGAGTGGCTGGTCGTCTGCACTTGTGCTGTCTGCTGAGTTGAGTCCTGGCCTCCTTCCGTCTCTCTCCATGTAAATGTGCACATGTCTCTGAACCATGTGTATCTTCAGCGTATTTCATAAAAACAAGGACATCCTTTATATAACTCTGTGCAGCTGCCAGAATCAGGACACCCAACCCGCACGCAGCGTTACTACTGAACCACCATCCAGCTGTCCAGTGACATTCTCTAAGCCGTTGTTTGTCCCAGGCCAACACCCGGTACTTGGTTCTCTGCTGTCTCCTTAATCCGGGACATTCCTCAGCCTTTCTCTGTGTTTTGTGGCCTCGGCATTTTTGAAGCAGAAAGGCCAGTGTTTGGAGACAGCCCTTGGTTTGGGTGTGTCGGGGGGTCAGTGTGGCAGCTTCAAGTGATGCATTTTGTAGGGGCTCCCTCAGATGTGGCACAAGTGCTGGTGACTTGTATCAGGGACCCATGGCCTGGGGTCTGTTGGGGACTCGTGGACCGGGGTCTGCCGGGGGCCCGTGGCCCAGGGTCTGTCGGGGACATGTGGCCCGGGCTCGGCCGGGGACGCATGGCCCCACTGGACGCAGTAGCTCTGCCCCTTTCCCGGCCACACACGCTTTTTGCCTCTCTTGTCCTTTTGCTGCATCTTGTCACTTCCTCCTGCCGAGAGCCTTTCTCTCTCCCTGGTGTGTTTTGGGCTGTGAGGCCCCGCAGGGCCCCGTTTCGTTCAGGGCGGAGCCACTCATTGCTGAGACCACGTGGGTGCTCACGTGGCCCGGATCTGGCCGTGGGAATGGCATGGTTTTTGCTGCCCCTGTAGCTCCCCACTCCGGGCACATGCCGTCCACGCAGTCAGGCCCCATGGAGGTGTCCACGTCTGCAGGAGCCCACGCGTGGCCTGACCGGCAGGAGTGAGCAGCTGCCAATCAGCTTGGTCATCATTTCAAAGTCAGACTTTGGGCGGAGGCTCTGGGGGACCTCCCCATCAGGTCCACCTCTGCTGACCATCCAGATGCTTGCAGACAGCTTGGGGAACCCCCGCTTTGCGGTCACTTCCCGACACTGTGGGCACCATGGTGGAGGGGGGCTAGGGGCACGGTGCCTGAGTCCTCGTCACCGAGCACCTCCGAGCGCTGGGGAGGAGAAAACACTCCTGCCCACCCCCCGCCATCGCCGCCCTGTCCCCTCCTGTCCCCTCCTGTCCCCTCCGAGGGGGAGCACGGGGTTCCCACCGGGTGCCGGGACCGCTCTGCTCTCCAAGGGGCGGTCTCGTGGGGAAGTCCCCTGCAGCCTCGCGCGGCCCCTGGGGGTGATGGCTTTGCATCCCACCTCCCCAGGCCGCCAGCCCGGAGCCCGATCTGAGGGCTTTTCTGGGTTGTCTGTTTTCATTAGAAAATCTGCGCACTTAGGTCCTGTTTCTCCCAAGTCTGTTCCCATTTCTCTTTCTCTGTTCCTAATTTTTAAAATATTTTTTATATTTTTCAGTTTCGTTAGATATATTTTGTATAAGTCACATGCGGTCTTTTTTGAAGGAAGGTGGGGCTGTTAAATAATAACTAAGAGTTAAAACTTCAAATCCTCCAAATTATTCCCTAGTCTTCCAGCTTTAAAGAGACCCCAACCTGTGACCGGGGCCGAGGGTGACTGGCGGCATGGGCTCCACACCCCAGGTCCGTGGGCGGAGCCTCCCTCAGGAGTGTGGGCAGCTCCCCAGCGTCTCAGACTGGGCACCTCTTCTCTGTGGCTCTCCCTCCTGTCCTGAGGCTGCAGTGGTTGGAGGGATGGCCCCGCTGGCCTCCCTGAGGGTGATGGTGGCAGGGACATCCCTTCCACAGATAGGCAGAGCAGGTGGGACCCTCGCAGCTGGGCGGTCAGCTCCTCAAGCCCTCCGCTGCAGACGACGGCCATCCCCAGGGTGGTTGCCGGGCGAGGCAAACGGCAGATGAGGCTCCACGCGATTCATTCCCCTTGTGACGCGTTGACTTGGAATGTTTTATTATTCAGGGGAAGGTCCAGTCAGGCAGAACCCTGCAGAAGCCTAACCAAGGGTAATAATTTGGAATGCTTTGCACAAAGGGACACCTTGCTTTAAGGAGGAGGGAGGTATTCTCGGGAGATCAACCCTGTTTAAGGCTCTTCAATTCGACGTTCAGACAAATTCCTGCCCTTACTCTTCAGAGCTGTGGCTGGGGGCCTTAGCAGGGTCCAGGCCCTGGGCGTCCGCGCTCTCCCGAGGTCACTGAGAGCCGTCTCCCGCCATGGCCGTCCTGAGGAGGGGTCACGATGCTGACCCGGAGCTCCCACCCGTGCGCAGGGGCGGAGCCTGGCCCAGACCGTGCGGCCCCAGAACCTGGACGCGCTCCGCACAGCCGCAGACCCGGCCTCCCCTCTTGTACCTCACGTCGCCACCCCGCCCTGCTGCCCTCGAGCCCCCTCCAGGCCCCGGGAGCCCCGGTGTCTCTGCGGGTCACGCGCTGCCGGCTCACGGACCCCCGAAGAGTCGGGCTTACCCCCGGGAGCCGACCAGCCGCCAGCCTCCTTCCCCGTCCTTGCGTCCGTCTGCCTTGCGCTCCCGGTTTCAGTAGGTGCCCACGGCCGCACTGGGTCTGTCTGTCCGGCCTCCGTCTCGTCTGAGGCCGGCCCCACGGCCTCTGAGGGTTAGGATACTTGCTGGACGGATGGTCGGAGATGGCAGCTGCTCTCACCCCACGCTGGCTCCCGACCTTGGCGCCTGGTCCTGCCCCAGGACAACTTGAGGCCATGTTTTGGGCCGGCAGATGGCCCCGTGGCAGGTGCGGGCGGGTTTCTGGACCTGAGGGAGGTTAGCACCCTCGACCTGCCCCCTTGGTGGGCCACGTCCTGCCGCGTGTGTCTGCACAGCACCTCCCACCCCTCCCCCGGATGGGGCTGGGGACGCTGTGCTCTCAGCCGGTGGCCTTCCCGACGACCACAGAGGAACGGAGTGTGGAAAATACCCTGGAAGCAGCCGTGAGCTGCTTTGTTCCGTCAGGGTTACAATGATTCCCTAATTCCAGGATCCTTTTCTCATCGGCCTGTGTTTTCCCGCTGCCTTCCCCAGAGGCGGCTTCCACGCACTAACTACCAGGCCAACGTCCTCTTCCATTTGTGAGATGTCTTTGAAGGCCTGTGGTGTGCCGGGCCCTGGCGGAGGGGCCAGCCTGTGAGGACGATCGGAGCAGAGCGCTCCCTCCAGGGCCTTCCCTCCGTCGGGGATCACAGCCACCTACAGATCATGCAGTCTGAGGCCTGTGCAGCAGTGCATGTGTGGGTGGGGTGGGTCTGGGGGGAGCCTTGGCTGTTCACTCAGGAACTTGGGCCCAGACCCCTCCCAGAATCCTTTGAATCCTGTTCATCCTTCAGGCACACCACCCCACCTTGCAAAAGGCCACCGTGGACTTTGACGTCCCGACTCCTGGCCTCCCACAGGCCCTCTGCCAAGTCCAGCCTGACAGCCTCCAAGAGCTCAGGGCTGCCGACCTCCCTGCCCTTTTGTGTGCAGCCGGGCCTGCGTCTGCTGGGAGCACCTGACCCTCACTGCCCCCAGAGCCTTTGCACCTACTGTCCCCTGCTGTCTGCTTTACCTCCCTGCTTTCCCCACTGAGCTTAATTAACTCTGGGTCGCCCGTCTGATCGCAGCTGGAGGATCGTCTGTCTTGAGGGCTCTCTCCTGACCCTCCTTTTGGCCTCCTCCCCCCTCACACCCCCCGTGCTTTGTGTTTACTCTTGTCTTTCTTGCTGGCTGGGAGCTCACGAGAGCAGAAACTGTGTTTGGGCCACTGTGTCCCCAGGACCTAGGACAGTGCCTGGTACTCAGGAATGTTTGTTGAGTGAATAATAAATAGGAAAGGCAGTGGAGGTTCCGAGAAGCCTCATGGGGAAAGTAACATCTGCCTGGAAGGAGGAGGGGTCCCTGGAGTGGTCAGGCTTGCGGGGGGGAGTACCTTTCAGATGGACAACAATACATGCAAAGGCCCCGAGGCAAGTCTGGGGATGCGGACGGGAGAGTGGGCAGGGTGTGCTATGGCATCTTGTACAAATCCCATCCCGCCCAAAGACGAAGGAGGCCCAGAGGAGCCAGCGCGTCTGTGTGACGGCCACGTCCCACTTCAGGTGTCCTGGGGGAGGCAAGTGGTGCAGCGCCTTTGCTTTTCCAGGGGGACCCCAAGGCCCCCGAAAGGCAGCGCCCTGGCCCGGGTGACCAGGGCTGACCCAGCCGAGCCACGCACCCTCCTGTGTCCCCGCTCTGCTCCCACTCGGCCCCAGGCTGGTTGGCGTGGACAAGAGTGGCCCTCGCAGTTCAGGCCGGAGGCCCTGCCGTGGGGCCCCCTGAGCCCGCTCTTGCCCCTCAGATGTTCCAGGTCATCCAGCCCGAGCGGGCACTGTACATCCAGGCCAACAACTGCGTGGAGGCCAAGGCCTGGATCGACATCCTCACCAAGGTGAGCCAGTGCAACCAGAAGCGCCTGGCCGTCTACCACCCATCCGCCTACCTGAACGGCCACTGGCTGTGCTGCAGGGCCTCCTCGGACACGGCCGCCGGCTGCTCCCCCTGCACCAGGTAGGCTGTGACTGGTACCGCAGCCCCGGGCGGGCATAAGTGCAGGGTGGGGCCCCCGTCTTTAGTGACCTTTGAATAACCACCGCCACAACTGACCCCTCCTCCTCTCCGCCCGCACTCGCGGTGTCTGGGCAGTGGCCTCCCAGCAAACATCCAGCTGGACATCAACGGGGACCGAGAGACTGAGCGCATCTACTCTCTCTTCAGCTCGTACATGAGCAAACTCGAGAAGATGCAAGGTGAGGCGGGGCAGACGGGGGTGAACCTGGGGGCCGCCAAGGGCTGCGCGCGGTGTCATCATTTATAGCGCTGATAGGGAAAACGTTTCTGCAGGTTGAGTGGCTATTTGGGGGGCAGTTACTTGGATAACAGGTTCTATGGATAATTTTAAGATGGAATTTAGCTTGCAACCTCTGAACTGCCAAATTTTTGAGAAGATCCTATGTCTTAATAACCTCCCATGCCTGCAAACAAGGAGTTTCATTCTTCTGTTTTTCAGAGGGACGTGTGCACGTGTGTGTGAGTGTGCGTGTGTGTGTGTGTGTGGACCCTTGTGCGAGTGCGTGTGCTCGTGCCCCTGCCCGGCAGCTCCAGGCGCATCTGCGCAACTTTGTTTTCCTGCATATTCTGTTGCTCTCCGTGCCCTGCAGAACGAAGCAGTGGGAGGTGGGGCAAGTCAGGAGACCGGGGGGCGCTTGGGCTGTAGCAGGAGAGGCAGATGCCAGACGAGCTGGGCGGTGGTGAGCTGTTTCACCCTGCACTGGGGCTGGCACTTCTCAGAGCTGCTGTTATTCTGTGGTGGGCCCTGCCGCCCCCTCAGAAGGTGCCTGGAAACAAGCCTGTTGGACTCCTTTCGTCTCCTGGTCAGTTGTGGGCCACAGCCTGGAGGGTACTTTAGCCATGCCTTGGTGAGCACGCAGCTGCCCGCCCATGTTCTCCAGACCCCCCACCTCCCTCTCTGCCCCAGCACCACGCGGCAGACCCCTGTGCCTTTACCCCTGATGCGCCCCTCGTCTGGCTGACGCCGTGTGTCCTGTGGGGGCCCCTCCCGAGCTTATCCTGCCCCCCTGCAGACAGCCTGTGCTGATCTCTGTCATTACGATGATACCCTCTCAGATCTGTTCACCAGCGGCACACGTGACCTTGAGAGGAGAGGCAGGTGTCATTCATCCCGGTGCCTAGCACACAGGAGGGACTCAGTACCTGTCTGCTGGATGCGTGGATGGATGGGTGGATGGATGGGTGGATGGATGGGTGGATGGTGGTTGGGTGGATGGGTGGATGGGTGGTTGGGTGGGTGGGTGCATGGGTAGATGGATGGATGGGTGGTTGGGTGGGTGGGTGCATGGGTAGATGGATGGACAGTCAAATGGAAAGGGGTCTTGAACACCCAGACTCCCTCCCAGTGATAGCAGAACAACAAGGGTTCTCAGAAGGTCAGCCGGATTGGAGGCCTTACCACTCACTTCACGGAGGCACCAAAGCACTGAGTCACTTTCCACAGTCTTCAGGCCTCTGCCTGGAACCTCAGTGCTTTCTTGAGGCGGATGCTCTGCTGTCAGGGGCTCTCATCTCCTTGAGACCCTCGTTTATGTCGGCCAAACTGCCCTGAGCACTCAGCCCGTGGGCTGACGACGCACCAAGGCCTCTCCTCCGGGCACAGCAGCCTTTCCTTGCTGGGAGGCGGCTGTGTTCTGGTCGCCTGTGAGTCTGTCCCCCCACCTCCCTCACGGCAGGGACACCCGCTCAGTGTCCCCCTGAAGTTTGGTGCCCAGTGCTTCAGGTGGCGCAGGGCCAGCGCAGGGCTGGGCAGGATCGTGTGCTGAAGGGCTGCTGGACCAAGATCACGCGGCCCAGGTCTTGGTGATGGCGGCCGGCCACCCCGTCTGTGCCCTGGAAGGCAGCCTGCACCCATACCTTCCCGCAGGCATGATCAGGGGGCCTGGGAAGGTCTCGGGGTGACTTTCACAGACACGGAGCCATGCTGCACGCGTGACTGTTAAATCTGTATGAAGCCTTTTCACCCTCCAACCCGCAGCTCAGCCAGCACCTTGGTGCAGCTCATCAGCTACAGGCCACCATCTGCCCTTAGCAGGGACCAGGACGCACTTTTAGTCTTGCCCTTCCCACCTCGGGGCACGGACATTGGGCTCACTTGTCAGGGCCTCTGTGTCCTGTGTCACCCGGCCGTTGGGTGTCCTCCCGACTTAGATATCTGCCCCCCAGTGTCACCGGCAGGGGCCACGCTCGCCGTCCTCCAGTCCTTGGGACGTGGCTTGTCGGTCAGCAAGTCCGCCTTTGCACTGTCCCGCGTCTGCCCTGTGCTCTTCCTCGTTCCCGGGGCCGTTTTAGAAACGTGTACCCGCCGCCAGCTGGCACCAGCACGCGCTCCAGCGTTGCCCAGGCTTGGTTTGGGGAACCCCGTTAAAGAGGAGCAGAGGGTGAGCTTGCCACCTGGCCCCGTGGATGCTCCGGGTCTGTTTTGGGTCCAGTCACGAATCTTGCGTCTGACGTCGGGCCCAGAATTAAGAGCTGCTCCCCAGCCTGGTCCTGGGACCTCCTCCCGGGTCTGTTCCAGCTCCCGCCGCCGCGGCCACCCTCCTTGGCGCCCTAGCATGGGATTCCCCGAGACGCACAGGCCTCGGTGCGGAGCTGCTTTGGCATCCGCTGAGAGGCCAGCTGGGCACACGGCCCCCTCCTCTGGGAAATGACAGCGACGGGCCCCACCCGCCAGGCTGGCCCAGGGGCCGCGTGGAGCAACCCCTGTGAAGTGGTTCCCGCAGCTCCCGAGCTGAGGCGTCCGGCGTCCCTGCCTGTGTCCCGACCCCGCCAACGCCCGTCCCCCCGCACGGGATCGTGGTCCTTCGGTGATTCCCATCCTACTCCGAAGCTGCCCTGTTTCCCAGCAGGGTTCACTGAGACTCGGGAGCTTGAGCTTGAGTCGCTCAAGGCCAAGCAGGCACAGCCAGAGGGGACTCGGGGGGGACGTGCAGGCAGCCGGGCTCCAGGGACGTCGCCGGTGCTGTAAGAGTCAGGAGAAGAGAATAGTGATAGTGTATAAAGAAGAATGTGAACTAGACAGATAGCTGGTAGGTAAAATCAATAGGAAATATCAGTTGACTGTATGTGGGAAACAAGAAAAGGAAGTATTGATACATAATGTAGCTACAAAATGGAAAAATCTCTATCATACTGGGTCCATGCATATGTATGTGAAGAACTGACAATGGACACACGTAGTGAGTATGAGATAAATCTTGCTATGTTAATCCACTGGACTTTTAGATTTTTTATTATTTTTCTTTTTAATGTGGCATAACCTGGCCTATTCTGACCAACACAATCATTTTTACTATTGACAGGCCTATTTGGTAGCTGAAGGAACATAATTTTAGTATTTAAAATACTGTCTCATGGTTAACTAGGGAGTTGTAGTAGGTAGATTCCAAAGATAACCCTCAAGATTTGCATCCTCTGCATAACCACCTTCTATATGAGTGGGTGCCAGAGGTGAAGAGAGATTTTTAGATATAGTTAGTGCTCCAAATCAGCCCCTTTATCCCTCGCGTGCGCAGCCCTTATCTCTCTCACGTCATGTTCCCATTTCCTTTGAAATTTTGAATCTTCCCAGGTTCCCTTTGCACAGACTTGTGGTTTTTCAGTAAGAATTAAGAGGTTTCCCTTGAGTTGGAAGTGAAGGCAGTAAAGCTTTCCGTGGCGGTGAGCCAGCAGCACATCACAGGCCGTGCCGAAGGGGCCTGATGCCAGCTCACCTGGGCCGGGCACCGGTCTCTCTGTGGCCCTGGAGTGTAGGACTCAGCTCGGGTGTTTGTAGGCAGGTGGGGGGCCCGGAGGCCACAGCGTGGTCTTCAGCAGGGGG